TTTTAACTGCTTTTTATTAGCTGACCACAAGTGCCACAAAGTAGCAAAGTGGATATTAAACTTTGTTTCGTGGGTTTAAGTGCTACTCGTACTCAACCCCACGGAGTTGGTGTTTAACTGCCAACTTTTTACTTTTCTGACAGGCGAGTGTTTGCTCTTTGGGATTATAAGACAAATTTTTTTTTTGGTATGAATATTTCATAAATTTTTCCTTGACCAACATTTAGCATGTGCTTTCTTTCATAGCAGTTACTATTATTACTTTTTCGCATAAATAAACAATTTTACGGCCTTTCTACTTTTCACTCTTTTAGGTTTAAGTTATTATTGTTATTATTTTCTTGTTAGTTTAGTCGGCTTTACTTATATATTATATTGTTGTTGCTGTTGTTGCTGTAGTTGTTGCTAAGTTTTGTTTAAAGAAACACTTAAATAAATTATAGTATTAATTATTGCAAACAATCACTATTTGGTTATTCAACAGGGTGTTTAAAGTAATAGTGAAAATATTCATAATATTGAAAATAAATTAAATAAAATATAAAATTATCTATAAAGCTATTATTTTCATTTAAGATAATTATTTTATATATCATATAATAAATATTAGTAACAAGAAACTTTAGATAATACAACAGACCTTATCCATTCCATGGGAAATTGTTGTGGACGCACTAAATACCTAATTATTAAATTTGTAAAACTATCTACAAATTTATTTAAAGAGTTATTAGGTTAGATTAGGTTCGAAAGACGCGTGCTGACAGTTGTCAGCACTTCCACGCGGAGGCATATATTGCCCATTGTGATGCCCCCAAAAATTTTGCCGGGAGAGACGAGTTCCAAACCTTTGTAATACTTGTTAAACCATTTGGTTTTCCAGATGAAGTTGTGGAGATCCGATAACTTTACTTTCGTTGTCTTTTCCAAGCCAGTGAAAAAGCGATCCCCAAGACATTGAAATCACCTTGTCTGAAATCCTGGACAAAGATACAGGAAGTGGATAATAGATTCTACCTCCTTTTCAGCTTGGCAACTTCTGCATAATTCATTTGTTGGAACTCGCCACCGTTGGAGCATAGGCGCAATGCCACAGCGCCCCATTAGTACTCCAGTAAGCACACGAACTTTAGGTTTGCTGAAGTCTAAAAAGGCTTTTCGTTTTATTTTTGTCTAACCTAGGCCATAAGGTTCTAGCGACCTCACAGTCTTCGCGGTTAGCCCATATATTGTTGGTCACCGTCTTGGTGATTTCCTCTATTATTTTAAACAGTTCACATATCGGTATATGTATTGAGAGGTCGGCCTCTCTTACATGCAGTTCTTCTGCATCTCATCTGCTAGTTCATTCCTTTCAATATTGCTATGTCTGTAAGTGTTCGACGTGAATTCTAAATTGGAATTTAGTGCAGAACCTAAACTGTGATAAGCTATTTATTCAGAATTTCGTCAGTGTTTTAAATAAACGAATCGAATAATAGATTGATTGATTGATTGGTTTTCATAACTGTCACCATAACTCTTTAACCGAAAATATACTGTCCTTATTTTTGTAAAATATTACCATACTCAACACAAATCCATTTTACCCTGTAAAAACATAATCTATAATAAATTAATTGCATTTTCTGTTTAATCTGACTTTTTATTAATATTTATTTAACAATCTGTAGATTGTTGATTTTATAATTATCGATTAGTGTAATGGACAAATATAGTGAATGTGTGCATAAATTCCCAACAACAATTATATTGACAATTACAATATTTTTCAGAAAATGTTGTGGCTTTAATGTTTTCATATGAAATGAATTTTTACATTCACTTGGTTAACGATTTTGTGCAACTCTGATTGACGCATTTGCTGCATTTTTGGTTGACAATCTGACAATCTGACAATTACACGCTGCGTAATGTGTGAATTATTGTATCTGTTTGTGGCTTCAACTTTTCCTAACGTATTTTTGATGTAAAAATAATTTTCATTTTAAATTTTATTTGTTTTTTGTTTTTTTTTTTTTTAAATTTATCTTTTCACAAATGCAGGTGTCTGTTACGCGACGCGTTCAAAGTGCAACACAATTTTAGATACTTTTTTCCTATGTCGCGACGGTTGGTTGTCAGTGCGAAGCGCATATGTAACTTAATCGCATTACCGGTAAATGCAATTATGTATGTGATGACGGTGTAAAAACAAAATCACACTTTTAAATGATGAAAGTTGAAATTTAAGTATCAAAGTGAAACTGCAATTCTGTACTGTCAAATATGTTACAAAGCAAAATGTACGAAAAGTATTCAAAGTTCTTTAAATGGAAAAGTGAAAAAAGATTTATTACTTTTAAATTTTTTCGTAAAGCAATTTAACTTTTCTTTTGAAAAGTTGGCACTTCCTTACCCATGCATTTTTAATGAGATATTTTTTTTAAAAAGCAGACTTTAATTTAACTAAAAATTAAAAGAAATTTTGGAATTCAAATTAAGACGATCTATTTAAATTAATCAAATAAAATTTTGTAATTATATAGTAATTTTATTATTTTAAACATTTTAAATACAAGAATAAGATCCTTGTTTGCCCCGCAGAGATATCAGTCTTGTAGTAGGTTTACTAACAGATCATTGTAATCTAGGTAATCATGCTAGGAGACTAAATCTTCCCTTCAACCATTTTTGCCGCAGTTGTGGTGAGGATGATTAAAGTGCGTCCCACCTGCTTTGTTTCTGACCGGCACATGCTTTGTCAAAGGTTCTAGCTGGTTGGGTTTTTAATACTACGGTAACACAATGGTTGGGCCTATGGGCCTAAGTGGATCCCCTTGGGATCGCCAGTATAAACTAACCTAACCTAAGATCCTTGTCATATTATTTACGTTCTTATTGTTGTATTTATATTAAATCTTAACTAAAATCACAATAAAATTCTGCAATCACTGATTGCATTTGTACCACATCAATTCAGCGGTTCCCAGTTCATTTACCACTTGACTTTGTCATGCATTTACTAGTTTCTTCCTTCCTTTGTCTACTTTACTAAGAATTCCAATCTATACCGCTACTTGGAACACTGCATCTAGTCTTCCCGATAGGGTGTTTATCATAGTCACTCCAATTAGCCTCTGTTTTCTGTGAACTATGGCTCATTTATTACTCCCATACTTTATAAACAGCATGTCCCTTAAAAAAGTCAATATTTTTTATACTTATAATTCCTCACTTCATTGTTGTAATTATAAGGATTGGAAAATATAGTTATCTTCTGTAATATGAATTTATTTTTATTAAAGTTTAAAAAGTATAATAAAAAGTATGATTATGATGTAACTTATGTCTAATATCTAAATGATACATTTCGAATCTAATGAATATTTGTTATAATAGTGACACATAAATTCTAAATTTTGTTTAAATACTTCTGATATACAAAATATATACATTATTAAGAAACTAATATTTACTTAAAATTTTCTTTACCGTTATATGTTGGGATAGTCATCTTCTTCTTAGTGTCCGTTTCCCCTTTTCATGCATAGGACCGCATTTGAAATAGTCATGAAACTCTAAAATCTTTTCGGCAATGAATTACTAAAACCTAGTTGGTGACAGCTACAAAAATCTCTTATCCAGGTTATTTACTTATTTACTGCTGTCCTTTTCTAGTCCTCTCTTCTAGATCCATCCAGGTTGGATTGCATGAATGAAGTAAAACAGCTTTGTATATCTGAACCCAATGATAATAAAATAGGTAAAAACTTACGAAACTAAGTGTATTAAATTAAGTTTTAATAGAACTCGTACCTTTCTGCGGCATGTTTACTGAGCCAGCATTTAAAAAGTTTGTATGTAAATTGTTCAGATATTAGGGCCCTAAATTAGAGACAATCTAAACAGGTTATTCATATCAAGATGATAAGTTTTGCAGTTTAAATAGATCATAATTGACCATACTCCTGTTAACTATCGACTTTCAATTATAAAATAAAGGAACTCTAACCCTTGTAGATTCTATGAAGTATAAATATTCGTATTCTATAGTTGTGAAGAAACTCATCTAGTATATCCATCTGTAATTGTTTGTTAATATTCTTGATGTGTTCAGATTAATTTAAGATACTGTATCTTTATTATTTTTCTTAAAATCTTATTTCGTTCATATACCTAAGCCTATGACAATACAAATTAACAGAAAACTCTTTAAGAGTTTAACATTTTCCAAGTATGGCGTATTTATTAAACAACCCTCGTTGACAGTTATTACATTTTCTTTTTAAATATACTTCATACTTATTTGCATATTATAATCCACTCTATGCCATAACATTTATTTTTATTAATATTTAAACATTTAAAGCAAGTAGACCATATGACTGTTATTTCAATACTATATATGTATATATATGTAAATATATAGTATTAAGCAAAAGCGGAATTATAAATAAAATCGAAATATAATGCAAATAATCAACATATGTACTTATATTAGTCACTTAACATTTACCATTAATTTTATGGTGCAATTGTCCTTTATTTTCTTTCACCCAACATCATACATCATGGCATATACGCCATTAATAGGACTGTAATAGCATTACCGGCAATACCAAATAATTTCCTTTAAATTTCCAGTATTTTTATACTATATAATGCACATATGTTTTAAAATGACACGCATCTATGGTCACGAATATAGCATTTTCCCTTACGTCTGTAAATGTAACCTATTACACATATACCAATTTGCTGACTGACTCTTACGCAGTTAAGTATATAAGTGTATACGAGTTTACATTTATATAAACTCATATATATATATATATGTATATATATTAAATATGTTTGTAACATATTAAAGGTAAATTCCATTTTACGTGCTCATTTTAAACGTGCTGTGATTTATA